CGAATTTTTTATCGTTTCTATCTTATTTAAACTGATAATGCACTCCTTGTGTATTATCTTTTGTTTTTGATTTATAAAATTTACGTGATTACCTATAAAAAAAAAGGTTAATAGACAACACAAACATGAGCTTAGCTTTGAATAGTGGCCAGTCTTGTTACTGTAAGAAAACAATCCAGCAAAGCTGCAATACCTCGTAGAGATGCTTTGGGCAATATTATTCTTATATATTTATTCATTTATTATTATTTTGCTAGTAAACTCTCTATACTTCTCTCACTCTCGATTAATTTAATGTTGATACTTCAGCTTTATATGACCTAGATGCACACCAATCGATCTAATTTCAAACAAAAGGGATCGAGACACACAAACTATGGAATATATTTGCAGTTCTCTCAACAGGTGTGTTTAAAAGGGCTTGCAATCCAGTAGATAACTATTTATTACCTCTAGTTGTGCAGCTACCTCCTTGTATTGTCTTTTTGAAGCCAAGACTTGAAGTTGCTCTACAGCAGAGACTGCCATAGCGTGCAAAAGAGGTTACATTGACAAATTATTGGAAAATATATGTAGTTCTTACAGCAAAATTAACCAAAAAACTCATGGAGTAATAAAAGTTCAAAACATTTTATTTATAATGTAGCCGTGCATAATTTTTTCACTTCTCGACAGTAAAAAACAAAATTGGTTGCATGCTTGTAATTTATTTTTCCAAAACAAATCAACACTAATTGCGTACTCCTCCTCAAATCACTAAATAACAAGTGCTTTCTTTTTCTCTTTCTTATAAGAAACGAGAAAGTTAATTGAAAATAAAGAGGACAGGATTTCCTCTAAACACTAGAAATGAACACAGAAATCTACACCATATTACACTAGTTTCTAAAATATAGGGAAAAGGGAATCCCATAAACTCTTGTTAGAAGGCATCCGAAGAGAAGACCAATGTACAATCCACTCCCACAGAACTCAAAGTACATAGCCATCCCCCCAGAAAATTTAGCATTCCTTCTAGCCATAAAACACAAAAGAATGCCAAAACCACAGATTCCAAATAAAGTTAGCTACTTTGACAAACCAAAACCATCATAATACTACAATGTCACTTGAAACAGGTTCTAGGAGTCACCCAATCAGTTCCAAGCTTCCAGTCACAGCCTGCTCCAACACCTTGAACCAGCTCATATTCTAATAAACTATATCAATTGATTCAACATCATTCTGGCAAAAAATAAGCCACGATGAAGACTTGTCTCTTCTTTTTGACAATATCAGTTGTACTTAACATGAGCCACTAACCCAGCAAAAACTTTTAACTTAAATGGGAATTTATGACTTCCAAATGAAACTAAAAAGACGAGGAGGAGGAATCCGAGAAGAATCAATAATGAATATATCAATTTATTAGTTAGAAAAAGCCAAGAAGACTGTAGAACCCTAACCCTCTTATCCACCTTTTATACCCGAATTTAGAAGACCACCATGTCATTGTCCAAAAGGATCAATTACTTCAAGTCTCTATCATTAAAATTTCAACAAGAGCTAAAATTCCATCCCTCCAAAGAAAAAGGTGGAAGCAGAAATTCTAGAAATGGAAGTAAGGTGGAATAACTAAGGAAAAGACTCATCTCACTTCCATCAGAATAAATTATGATCTAGTCATTACCAACCCCCAATCTCATAAAAGAAAGAAATCATGGAATATTTCTGCAATATGAATGACTATTAGTCGAAAGTCTGCCTTTTTTTTTGTCCTCCATCTATTTCTTTGCAACCGATACTTAGTCCTAAGCAATCAAAAGCAGTAAGTCAAAAGTCTCTTCCGGAATTAAGGAGCTTAAGCTCATCCTTGTCCTCCCCTTATCATGAGAAAATTAGTATAAACCATCAGCATATCTTATGCAAGAGTCAAAGTTAAAACATAGTTCAAATTCCATATCGGCTGCATTTAAAGAGTTTAAGCAAGTAGAACATGTAGAAAGAATCATACTAGGGCATGTAACTAATTAGTATTGAGCTATGTTGCACGGACAATTCATCCAGACTAGCGTATCGTCCGACGGTGTCGGAGACCAACACTCCTCAAACACTCTATCATAATCATTTTTATTTCTTTTAGATAAATATTATATATTTTTAACTTAAAATTATTATTAAATAACAAAAGGTACTCATATTTAAAAGATTTCAACAAAAAAAATTAATAACAAGTATAAAATTAAATTTATTCTATATAAATGAAAAAAATTAAAGAATTAATCAACGTGTCGTATCAGTATTTTTTTAAAAAATTGTATGTCCGTGTCGGTGCATCATAGGTATTGAGAAAGTTGTTTCCTAAATGTTGATAATACAAGTATTAAGCATAACTGCATAACCCACAAAACAATTCCTGAAAATTATATTGGTCATTTAACTAAACAACAAAACTAGAGTTTTCAAAGTAACAGAGAAGAGAAAAAAGACAGGGATACAAGCAGAAAAAGGGAGAGGGATCTTTCCCAGTTTGTAGATGTTTGTTCCAATTAACCCAGCAAAAATAATATGGAATATATAGCAAAAATTATCATAATCCCAAAGGTCAAGACTTCAATTTCGATCTTATAATACAGGATTTGTTCTTGTTGTGGAAACTGAGCCATTTAGCCCCTGTTTGATGGCCATTATTTCCAAAAAACAATGTTTTGAATAGTGATGTGAGGAGAATATGTGGTTAAAAAGTAAGGAAAGGTTTTGAGTTTACGTGTAAAATATTTTATCGTGTGAATGTGTGGTTGAAAATGAGTATGTAAAAAAAAGAGTTTGGTTGTCAAACAGGGGCTTAATAAATAGGTAATGGCGGCAAGAATATAAAATTTTTGAAAAAGATAATCAAGCCAAATAAATTAACTAAACAATTAAGATAACATGTTACATACAAGCATAAAAGAGTCAATAGGCAACCTAAAATCCATCTCAAATAGAATTACGTGCTTACAACAAGAACATTATCGTATCCAAATTTCGGATTAAAAGGACTGACCTAGCATGGTAAGACGATGAAGGGCAGTAATTGTAGTTGTTATGTGCTTCTTTGCAAAATCCAGTTTCTTAATGTCACGGCATATTTCCTGAACCATTGTCTCACTTTGCTCTGCTTTGGTTTTAATTTCCCGAATTTTATACATGAGTTCCTGGTTCAGAGCATAGAGACGAATTAATGACGAAACAGTGATGCTGGGAGGAATTGTGTCCAAATCAAAATTACAGAAGACTGAACTGCAGGAAGAAAAAGGTTGCTTATGCTTAGAGTAACCTGATCTCAGAGGCAAATCAAAGTTATACAACTTATGTAATTAACAAACCTGCACAGCACTGGTAGCTGCAGCAAGATCCTCCCTTGCTTTGGTTCCTGAGTTACTCTGCAAATTATGGCAATTGACTATTCAAACAGTTCATTTCAAAAGGAAATGTAGTTTAGAACAAAAGGTATGCTCTTTGATTAGTAGGAGTTTATTGATTTGGCCAAGAGAGTGACTGCACCCATCAACATTAAGCAATCATATATTGTTGCCAAAAAGACTGCTCAACCAATCATCCTATGTAGCCACAAATTTCAGCATGCACACACTCAGTGAATACCCTCATATTCAATTTGCCTCTATTGTTGCTTCTTCCTTTTCAGTAGAATAGGGAGAAGGAAGAACCTGTTAAGTTTTTTTATTTATATGTGGGAGACTGCCATCTTTGCCTCCAATTAAATGATATTATGCTATCAGAAACAGAAAAAAATGCCAACCTGTTGGCGAACAGCTGCTAAAATTTCAGCATCTACTCGACAAATTTCACTATGTATTTTCTGCATAAGTGGCTCGATACCAGATAAAGATGCCTCTGCACATTAATCAGTCACCAGATTCTCAATAAAATCGGAAAAATTGCATATATTAGATAAATAATGTCTCAAGGTCAACACCATCACTGCATAAACATTGGCAAGATAAGACCTTGAGATTACAGATATTAATCGAAGGGTGGGAGAGAAACTATTTCCTTTTGCTTTTTCCCTTTCTTTTTTGAGAATTAATTTCAAACAGCTGAACAACCATGCAATTCTTTGTAAAATGGATAGCCTTACATGCTGGCATCCTCCATATTCCACATTGTTATTATGTATTTATAAGTTCCACTGCTCTATGTTTCATGTATAAAAGGTACAAAAGGAAAAAAGAAAATCTCCACGTTCTTTTCCACCTGTTACTTCCATATATTCACTACCAATTACAATCTAAACTAAATTTCCATATTGAAATGTTCACAAGAATATAAGCATTCCCTCCAACTCAATAGATCGGTTCCAGCTTTCTGAACTATCTGTATTCCCATAATGCAAACAAAAAATAATTCCGCCTATTTATTTATTTTCATAACTATGGACTGGTTCCAATGAGAGTTTCAGCAAAGAATGTACAACAAACAGCCCAACCAAAAAGAACACGCTTATGCAAAACGACATCAAAAAATGCAAATTCGTTTGTGTAAAGTGATAAACAACCTGTAGGGAACATCTGGTTGATGTAATCCACAGCACTCTGCTTGTCCATCGTTCCCATTGCTTGTAATTAAGATCTAAAATAATGATTACTAGAACAGTTGATTAAAGAATAAGAATAAAACTCAACATAGATCTAAATCGCATAATTATAAATTAAAAAAAAAAAAAATCTGGAATGCAAATTGAGAATACCTTGCGGAATTTCAACGGTTTTCGCTTTATTTTAACAATTTTAATCCGATGAAAATGCACAAAATTTAAAGAGCGATCTTCACTGAGGCAGTAAACTCTACAGCTGATCGAACGCCCGCCAGGGGTCTTAAGACTTTCAGTAAGAATTATGTCTGAACAAGCTATGAACTTTTTTTTCTATTTTTAATCATACATTTTTGTAATAATAAAATGTCCATCAAAACTCAAGGATATATTAATATAAAAATTAAAAAAAAATATTCAAAAACCATTTCTTTAAAAATGTAATATATATATATAATTTTTTAAAAAAGTTGATGAATCACTACTATATTAAAAAAGATGGCAAAATCACTGTTCATACGTGCGCCCTCCATTTCACACTAAAATTGGCTCTCAACTATTCACGATCTGATTTTGCTACAGTGATTTCCCCAATATCTAGTCATATTTGTTGACTAATTGGTATATATTTTCTTTATCTTCAGCCGTCCATTTGCAGTTGATATTTTATAAATGTCTTCTCCTCAAACAACTCCAGATCATCGATTTCAATCTCCTCTACACCAACCCAACAAAGAATACTATTGATTCCTCACTTATGTTGAACAATGGAGAAACAATCTCAATTTTTTATTGGAGTACTGTTTTTGAAGAAATTAATGAAATACTCCAGGAGTGCAGCCAAATAACATTGGCAGAAATGGCAACCAACTGCAAATTGGGTCGGACAACATATGGAGTAGGAAGAAAAAACTAATGAATTGAAGGTGTTATTTTTAACAGAAAAATAAAAGGAGGAAAAAGATAATGAATGCAAAAAAAAAAAACATAAAAATAAAAATACCGTGTCTCCGCACAATACGGAGACACCGGAGACACGATAAAATCACTAATTCAAAATTTATCTTCCCCAAAAAATCCATTGGAATAAAACATGAGCGAAATGAAAAAAAAAAAAAAAGAAGTATATATTATTTAGATTTTGAGTCTTAGAGGATGTTTGGTGGTGATTAAAATTCGATTTTTAGTATATTGTGATATATGTTTTTGAAATGTGTAGTTGAAAAGTTGTGGGATCCATAAATACCAAACAGAGATTTATATTGATCTTCATACTTCAATGCCATCATTTTCATAGAAGATATTCGTCCATCTCGAGTTATTGCGGTCGGCAAGGGGTCTGGTTTCATTGCATTAGAAATATAGCCCATGTTTGAGCCACATTAAAATTTTCATTCTCATTTTTCTACTCATTTTCAACCACACATCTTCAATAAAATAATATTTTCCATCACATAAATAATTTTTCCTAATTTTTCAATCACACATTTTCTATCAATCTACTATTCCAAAATACATTATTCCAAAATAATGTGGATCAAACACGTTTAGTTGATGTTGGATATCACATGCAAAAATTATAGAATTATGTTGGGCTTAAATATTTCGTAAGTTATGAACATCTGTAGCTATAATATTTATAACACTCTATCTTGAATGTTGATTGCACAAAGAATACGTATCGTTAAAATCTTATTAGAACTAGTAAGACGCACGTGCAATGCACGTGCCATAGTATAGTTGGTTACATGATAGCGTAAATATAAAAAAAAAATACTTGTTATTTATTTATGTCTTGATTTTATTATGAGTTTAATGCATTAAATTACCTGGTCAATAATTTGATGATTATGCGAGTCTCTTACAAATCGAGATGTGAGTTTGAGATTTATGTCATATAATAAAATTCGGTAAATTAGTATAACGTGTAGAGATATCTATACTAATTATTGCTGTCATAATATGAATTCTTAGAACTAGTGTTTCGTTTAACTAAAACTGATTCGCATAGAGATATGGAATTGAATTAGTTAAATAGGCTCAATGAAAACTCGAGAGGGGTAAATTGAATACAATAGAAGAATTCGATCGGACACTACATTATGTTTTGAATCTTGAATTAAGAATAAATGTGATCAATATATGAAATTGTTATTCCCTAATATTCACACATATTTGTTTATTCAATTATTGATTGTTTACAATCATTTTATATTTTTCATTAGTTAAAAATAATTAGGAAAAATAATTACAGTCATCCCCATGCAAGACATATGTAGTCAAGACTAATTAATTAATGATAATACAGTGCAGAATTTAGGACAAATCAAGGGTATCTATCAGTATTAAAATCACGACACAACGAAAACTTCCATCATAGAGGCAAAAAGAATGACAAACGATCACCTAACATCATAAATTCTGTCGAATATTGATAAGTGTGTTTTTGCACACTTATTTAATACTTAAATATACTTATTATTAATTAAAATGAGCGAATTTCTATTCACAATTATGTAATTATTGCTTTTGTAGGCAAAAATACACAAATGTAAGAGAACAAGACAAAAGAATAAAAAAAGGACCAAAAACGTACAACGATGTGAAGTTTGGGACCAAGTTGCACAAGTGCCGAATGTTGGAGGACATTGGGATGCAATTTATGGAGGGCAATATTGAAATGAAAATCTAAATCCGAGGACCAAAATTACAACATAAAAGTTGAGGGACAAATTATGCAATTTATCCTGAGGACCTCATGTGCAATTTTTTATGTCACCAAGAGTGCGCACCCGCGCACTTGGCTTCTGGAATTGTGCGCACCTGTGCACTTTTAGTGCGCATCTGCGCACCTGTGCGTTAAAAATTCCCGAAAATCAGATATTTTGAGGGCATTTTGGACTTTTGTTTGTACTCGGTTTTGGAAGTATTTAAACACCAAAACTCATAACTCAAACCCTAGAAAGAGTTTTTGAGAGTTTTTTCTCTTGTGAATTTTCCTTCTTTTTTCTTTTTCCTTCTCTTCTTTCTTTCTTCTTTCATTTTTCTCTTCCTTTTTCTTTTGTTTTACTTGATATTTTGGAGCAATCAAGAGCATGAAAAGAGAAATACATCAAAGTGGTGAAGAAGGATTTGGGGAAATCAAGCAAAGCTTCAAATATGGTTTTATCTACACCTTTGATTTTTCTCAATTTTTCTTCCATATTTGTAATGTATTGGATATATATTTTCCTTTGTTATCATATATATAAAATGGGCTAATTGATTGTGTTGGGATTTGTGGAATTAGTT